ATATGGATCAGCAGTTAATTTATTCAAGGAGTCAATGCCAACTTTAGAATGACTGAAAGAATTAGCATCTACAAGTAGTCTATGCTTTCTTAATAACTACAACATGAAAAGTTAAGAAAGTACTAATTTGATACAACCTGAAATGGAATTTGCAAAAATTTGTAACAGAGGGTAAAAACATATGTGGCACAGAAAAAAGCTTCAGTTGAGTAAATCACAAAGCTTGGGAAGATGTAAGGTGATTTTTCATCATGCTTTTCATCAGTACTCTGTGGAAAATACTTGAATTTATCATGTGTTACAGACCCAAGAGTGTCAACAGTGAACTTCATTCACTGTCATGGATTTAACCATTGTTAAAAACAGAGGTTGAATAAGCTAACCTGCCGGATCACACAACAGTCCAATGGTTTAGTAGTAGTAAAGTTTTTTTTTTTTCATTTTTCTTTTATTATTCATATGTGCATACAAGGCTTGGTTCATTTCTCCCCCCTGCCCCCACCCCCTTCTTCTCCCCCCCGCCGCCAATACCCAGCAGAAACTATTTTGCCCTTATTTCTAATTTTGTTGTAGAGAGAGTATAAGCAATAATAGGAAGGAACAAGGGTTTTTGCTGGTTGAGATAAGGATAGCTATACAGGGCATTGACTCACATTGATTTCCTGTGCGTGGGTGTTACCTTCTAGGTTAATTCTTTTTGATCTAACCTTTTCTCTAAGTACCTGTTCCCCTTTTCCTATTGGCCTCAGTTGCTTTAAGTAGTAAAGTTTTATTGTGATTTTTTCCCCCCTTTTCAGCTTAGAGCTGAAATTAAAGTTTTTCAGAACCACAGAGTGCTTTTAGCCACTATTATCAACTGGCTTTAAAAATTAATTTAATTAAAATTAATTAATTGGCTTTTGCTGCACAATTAATAGTATTTAATAAATTCAACCTAAAATAACAAGGCAAAACATTTATATGTGAAACTTAAACTGTGATTAAGTCATTTCATCAAAAAACTTTTTAATCATAAGCAATACATATGTAATACAAATATTTGATTTTTAATTTTTAAAAAACAATTTTTGTTTTTCTGAGCCAAGGTCTTACTATATAGCCCAAGCTGGCCTTAAGCTTGCTCTGTAGCAGAGGCTGGCCTTGACCTCACAATTCTGCTTCTTCAGTTTTCTTAGTGCTGGAATTAGAAGTGTGCACCACCATGCCTGGCTCCAAATATTTGATTTTTACTTGAAACAAATACATATATCCTTAATCTCCCAGTATTTTGGTTAAACAAAACAAAACAAAAACCAAGTCCTCTTCTCTGAGTACAGATCATCTGCTGAAGTTTCACATGTTCCTTCTAGCATATACCATATTACACGGATTTGTGATTTCAGATTTCTAGCCAGGTGCTGGTGACTCATACTTGTAGTATTAGTTACCTGGGGAGGGTCAGATTGGGAGGATAATGGTTTAAGACCAACATGAGCAAGCAGTTCTGAGACCCTATCTCCAAAATAACCAGAGCAAAAGGGACTAGAGGTATAACTCAAGCTGTAGAGCACCTGCTTTGCAAACACAAAGCCCTGAGTTCGAATCTCACTCCCATCAAAAAAGAAAAATTTTCAATTTTTTAAAAGTGAAACCAGAACCTAGATAACTTAAGACAACTGAGCACAGAATCTTTTGTTTTGTTTTTGTGGTGCTGGGGATTGAACCCAGGGCCAACGAATGCTAAGCATGTACTATTCCACTGAGTTAGCCCCAAGTGTAGAATGGTTAGTACAAATTTTATAATTCTTTCCCTTCACCTTTTCAGATGCTTATGTCTACAACTAATAAGGCATGAATTTGGAGAAAGTGGGGATTTGTACTTATCCAATCTGTGCAAGATCTTCAATTTAATTTTTTTTAAACAACATTTTTGCACTCATGGTTCATTAATGTATATAGTATTTAAACCATAAAATTACAATTAGGTATAACTAGCATAAGCAGGGTTGAAATGAACATAGCTGCTCTGGAAGTGTGAGAGCAGAAAGTGAGGTACACTAGAGAATCAATACAATGAATGTTCAGCTCTTCATAAAAATCATTCAATATATTCTAGAGAAAAAAATGAAGAGTGTGGTTATTTGGGTAATTTAGTAGGTATTCTCTATAATCTGATGATTATTTGAGTATAATCCAAATTAGGAGTTTTTATATATATATTTTTCCAAACAGCCCACTGTTACTGAATCATTTACTGAATAGCCAATCCTTTTCTCCTTATTTTTCCCTTTGGGTTGTTTGTCTTGTTTTTGGCTATACTGGGGTTTGAAGTAAGGGCTTCATGCCTGCTAGGCAAGTGCTCTACTACTAGAGATGGCTCCTAGCCCTTTTTGCTTTAGTCATTTTTGAGATAGGGTCTCTCATTTTTGCCTCAGCCAGACTGGATCATGATCCTCCTACTTAAGGTTACCTAGGATAACAGGTATGCACAAACAGGCCTAACATATTTTTGTTGAAATGGGTCTGGGTAATTTTTTGCACAGCCTAGCCTCAAACCACAATCCTCTTGGTCTCTACCAACCAAGTAAAAGGGATTACAGGTGTGAACCACTGTAACTCATTTGTTTGTTTACTTATTTATGCAACACTGGGGTTTGAATTCAGGGCTTCATGATTGCTAGGCAAGTGCTCTACCCTTCGAGCCAGAACTGCAATCTTATTTATATTTCCTATCATAGCTGGGATGACTGGGACATGCCATCATGCCCAGCTACTGACTGAGATGGGGGTCTTCCTAACTCTTTGCCTGGCCTTGAATTGAAATCCTTCCTATTTCTGTCTCCCAAGTAGCTTGGATTACAGGAATGAGCCACTGTCTCTGCCTTCTCCCTGATTTTTAAATGCTATTTTTATCATATTCTAAATTCCCCTATATACACATGTCTGTTTCTAGTCTCTCTATTCCTCGCTAATTACTTGTCTATTTTAATACAAATACAAACTGTCTTAAAAATATCTAATTTTCTGATACATTTTACTATCTTGAAGATCAAGTGTTACATATAATGTATTCTTCTAAATGAACTGTACGTGAAATTTGTCAACTTCTCAGAAAAGTTCAACACACTGGACTTGCAAATTACTTTGCGTTACATCTATAGAATAATTTTGGGGAGAATTAACATCTGTACAACATGTCTTTATAATATCTTTTAAAAGATATTGTAGTAGGTCGTCTCATTCTCTCCCTAGAGATGACCTGCTTTCAGTCTATTGAAAGTGTATTCTTTTCCTAATAAACTTTACTATCACTTTCACTAAAAAGAAAAAGAAAAAGAAACAAAGATACTTTGGTGGTCACTGGGTTCTGTGGCTCACACTTCTAATACCTGCTATTTGGGAGGTAGAAATGGGGAAGACAATGGTTTGAGGCTAGCCCTGGCCTGGCAAAAAATTATTAATTCCCCATCTCAACCAACAACCCCTATAACCCCAACTACTGAGAAAGCATAAGTAGTGGATCACAGTCTGAGACAGGCTCTGGGAAAAAAATGGAAGACTCTATCCAAAGAAAAACTAAAATGAAAAAGAGCTGGAGGCATGGCTCAAGTGGTAGAGCATGACTAGCAAATTCCAGGCCCTGAGATCAAATCCCAGTATTGTCCCTCAATATCATTTGGTAAAGCTTTATGACTTTTTCATATTAATCTTTTTGAGTGTGTGTGGTGCTGAGGATCAAACCCAGGGCCTCAAGCATGCTAAAAAGTGCTCTACCACTGAGCTACATACCCAGCTCAATTAATTTTTTCTTAGAAATGGGGTACTACTGTTACCAATGTTGGCCTCAACTTCTGGGTTTAAGCAATCCTCTGACTTTAGCCTCCTGAGTAGCTGGGACTACAGGTGCATACCATTGCACCTGGCTCAGTCTTTTTTGTTGTTTTTGTTTACTGTTTTGTTTTTGCAAGCACCCTAGCACTGAGCTACATCCTCAGTCTCCAACTTAGTCTTATATATTTTTATTATGTAATTTGTGCTCTCTCCTATCTATATTTAATTTTTTAAATTTTTTGTTTCTGCTAATATAGCGCTTAACACAAAGAATTAAGTTTTGTAGCCAGGTGCCAGTGGCTCATGCCTATAATCCTAGCTACTTGGAAGGCTGAGATCAGGAGGACTGAGGATGAAAGCCAGCCCTGGCAATACTTCATGAGACTCGAGTTTCCAAAATAACCAAAGCAGCCCAGAGTTCAAACCCCAATTCCACCATGAAAAAAAGAATGTTTTATAAGAAGAGGACATCTTCACCTTTTCACTCTCCCCCACACTCCCCCTCCAAAACAGAAAGTTGTTGAAGATGTGTTTTTTGTTTTGTTTTGTTTTGTTTAAATTTCAATACTGGGGATTGAACCCAGGGCCTCTTGCAGGCTTGCTTCTGTTTTTGAGACAGGTTCACTATGTAGCCCAAACTGGCCTCAAACTCTGGCCTCTGTCTCCCTAAGTGCTGCAATTACAGGTGTTTACTACCATCCCTGGCCAGATTTGTTTTATTCATCTTTGTGTTCTGAACACCTAGCATGTAGTAATTAGTCAATGCTTACCAAACTGACAATACCTTGCTAAGTTATGGAAACCAAATTCTCTATCTTTAAAAAGCTGGGAAAAAAATGGCTTATTCATTTAGAGTAGGAAAGAGCTTCCTAAATCTACCATCCTTATTAACCTAAAAAAAAAATCACCAATGTCAAACATACTTCCTTCCTTTGAAGGTCTTTCACAAATGAATTCAGTACTAATATTTTATTTTTGTCTTTAAAACCTCATAAGTCATTCTATTTCTTATGCATAAATGGAATAGCCACTACTGTCTGAGTGCTTCCTATAAGTTAGACACTCTGTATAACTTAGTTTATTTACTTCATATCCCAACTCCAAGCAGTGGATCCTATTAATATTTTCCATTTTGCAAACGAGGAAACTGAGGCAGACAGAAGTTAAGTAACTTGCCCAAGCTTACATACCTAACAAGTAACAGAGATGAGATCTGAATCCAGGCAATCCACCTTCAGAATCCACAAATTTTTTTAAAGAGCACATAATTTCATACTTTCATTTCATTAGTGAGTTGGCTTTAACAAGCCACTTAAAAACCTTCACTATGGGAAATAAAAACAAAAACAAAAACCTCAGCAAATCTATAATTCAACACTTCTCATTCTTAAAGTTAGAAAGAAAAATAACAATTTCAAATTGTAATTAGAAATGTTTTTAAATATTAGTAAAGGGCTAAACACTAGTTGTTCTATGTAGATTCCCGTTTAAATTAGATACAAACACCTTTAGTTAAAACCACTGAGTTTTGGTTAGCAAGCTGTTAAAACTTAACTGACTCATTTAAAATATGAGTTCAACAACAGTCCTAACCCCCTACTAAGATGACTTGGAACCATTTGACACCAACCTTCCCAAAACGTATTATTAAAGAATCTCATGCTTTTTAAAGAAAGGATCAGACCAGGGCTGGCAGCTGCCAAGAATGAGTTTACTGCCTGGTTTCCATGACTGCATCAATCTGAGACCAGCATAAGAGAGAAGGTGTATCCTTGGAAACCAATTCTTTGCTTCCCTCAATTAAGAAAGGGAGTAAAAAACACAGAAAGCTTCAGAATTTTTTTTTAACTTGTGTCCAATCTGCCCATTGCACATGACGATCATGGAAAAAGTCCTGTTCTGATCAAAGTGAGAAAATTATGTGGTGCTTAGTGGAAATCTTCAAATTAGTTTTTTAAGGAATATCTTATGATTTTGGCTTCACTCTTTAAAATAATCATAATCGAAGCTTTATTAACCACTTTGTCAGGGGTGGTGGCTCATCTGAAATCCCAGTTACTCAGGAGGTAGAGATCAGGAGAATGGTGATTCAAGGCCAGCAGTGGCAAAATGTTAGCAAGATCTCATCTCAACAAAACAAGCCAGGCATGGTGGTATACACCTGTCCTCTCATCTATGCCAGAACGTCAGGATGCTCTAGTTAGAAGGATCATGGTGAAGGCCAGAACGGGGCAAAAAGCAAGACCCTACCTGAAAAATAACCTTAAAGTAAAAAGGGCTGGAGACCTGGTTCATGTGGTAGAATGTAAGTCCTAGGCCCAGAGTTCAAACTCCAGTACTGCCAAAACAAAAAGAAGGGAAAAGGGGAGGAGAAGGGGGTGGGGGGAGGAGGCTCGTGGAGTGGCCCAAGCAGTAGAGCCTGCCTAGCAAGCATGAAGCCCTCCCTGAGTTCAAAACCGTAGTGCCACAAAAAAAAAAAAAAAAAAGGAAGAAGAAACAGAATTTGAGGAACAATGTCTAATTGAGAACAATACTTAGCAACCTCTGTTGTTCAATCATATGAACAACATATGAATATGGTAGCTAACACCTAAATTCTCCACATACCCTTTATATTCTAGAAGGACTCTATGTTTCAAGTGTTATATATCATGAAGTTTCAAAATGGGAGATTTTTTCAAATTAGGAAGCAGATTCAATATACTCGCCAAAAAAATCTGTAATTCTAACATAAGCTAACAGGTTCATTCCTCTTACCCACATTTCTAAGAAAAGAACTTATAGTGAAGTATAAATGAGTCTTAATGAAATAAAGTACAGCTTCCTAGGTTTTCTTAAGCCAGGATTCATGCCACCCCTCCTTCCCTGGAGCTATAAATATATTTCCTGCCATCAATAGCAATGGCTGGAGCAACCCCTCTGTTCAAAAGAACTAAAAATACACTATTGTACATATCCTCCCTCCAGCTACTCACCCACCATTCCAAAAGGAACTGACAAGAAGGAAATGCAGAGCTGTGTAAAGTTTAGCTGAGAGCAGTGCAGACTGTAATTTTCCTAATTTTTAAAAGTTAGACTAGCTCCATTTGACTGATGTTTACAGAGTTATTAATTAGCTATTATAGGGTCACAGTAAATACAGAATTTTTTGGAGAAGCTGTTCCTGGTCACAAGTCGTATTTTGCATTTCATTAACACTGTTTGGAAACCAGTTCTATTTAATTAAAAAACGGCAATGGAAATGTTTGCATTTTGGAACTAGGTAAAGCCTGTATGTAAAAGTGGTTCATGGAACTTAAAGTAGAGTTAGGCCAATACAACTGGTGGAGTTGGAGACACGAAAATGGCTCCCATGGTTAGGAGACTATTACCTACAGAGGACTGAGTAAAATGATAATGAGAGCCAGATTTGTCAATGTCAGAGAAAGAATGTACAAAAAAACAAAAGAGGAGCCTGGGGCTGGTGGCTCATGCCTGTAATCCTAACTACTTTGGAAGCTGAAATCAGGAGGGTGGGGGCCAGCCCAGGCAAAAATAGTTTATGAGACACCACCTTAATGGAAAAAAGGTGGGCATGGTGGTGTGTATCTGTCATCCCAGCTGTGGCGGGAAGTATAGAAAAGGAGGATCATGGACCAGGCCATCCTGGGCAAAAAGCAAGACCCTATCTCTAAAATAACCAGAACAAAAAGGGCTGGAGGTTTGGCTCAAGCAGTAGAGCAACTCCCTTGAAAGCTCGAAGCCCTGAGTTCAAACCCCAGTATTATGAAAAACAAAGCCAAAAAAGTTCATGGTACTGGAAAAGAATTAGGTTTGCCAGAGTAAAATCATAGCTTTTATATTTACAGGCAGATACAGATGCTTGTGTATGTTTATATGCACATGTATGTATAGACACACATACACATCTAATAATCATTCTTTATATTCTGTAATTGATGATTCAACATCTTGAAAGCTCTAGCCAAAATAACAGCAAAAATCCTATTACAAACCCTTGCCCGCAGACCCCAACATCTGTGTTTTGCTTTCTATCCAATAAGAGGTATCTCTACCTAACAACTTCCCACTGCTATAGTAAAAATGGCTTTCACTCATGACTTTCTCTGGCTCCTTCTGCCTCCTGATCCATCCTGGTGCTTCTCCATGTGGTCCTGTGTTAACATGGTGTACACCTTGCTTCTGGGACACTGAATAATAAACTTTCAAAGGTACTGACCTCTCTGTGTCATCTCTCAGACACACTTAATACATGGAATCCCATGTATATATTAAAAGTTTTACAGTTCTGTCCTCACATGGAGCCTAAGGGCAAGACACTCCAGTAGCAAGGAACACATTAGTGCTCAGATCTTGTTTTCTAAATACATTCTCAAATAAAAGGAACCAGAGTTCCTTGATAAAATGTTTGATTCCAGGACTGAGACATCTAAAGTACAAGATGAACATAAAAAATGTTGTGGCAAAAAAGGGGGGTGGGGGAGGGAGAAAAGTGGTCAAAGAATGATGAGGACATGAAAAAATGATACAGGGGGCAATCTTGACAGGTTTCCTACTGGCCAAATCTGGGGCAACTTGAACATCAAAATAAGTGAAAAATGTAAAATAAGAATCCATGAGTCTATGTTGGTATTTTTAAAAGATTAAAAAAAAAAAAGAAGAAGAGATTATTTTTTTCTTATAGCAAAATGCCAGATGAATGCAGAAGGAATGATGAAAATTTTTAAAACTTACCATCTGCTAACCACCATAGCAATAACTGATTTGGGCACAAATCATCAATGGATACTAAAAGTTGATGAAAATTTGAAGAGAAATGGGCTACTTACCTAAAATGTGTATAATTAGTAAGCACAAATACTTTTGAACTAGCTTTTCAGAAACCTGTCAGACAACATCTTGACCACATGATCAAAACTGAACATAACCTAAAATGGGACAAACTGACATATGCCTCCTGAAATAATGCAGTGAGAATACCACATCATGTCTGTGGTGTTCCTGCCAAATCTGCATAACCTAAATCTATTCATAAGGAAACGTCAGACTAACTCAGATTGGGGAACATTTTGCAAAGCAATTGGCCTACTCAAAGATGTCAAGATCATTGAAAAGAAGGAAAAACTGAGGAACAATTCCAGTTTGAAGAAGACTAAAGAGAAATGACAACTAAATGCAAAGCATGATCCTGAATGGTCCCTGAATCACAAATAAAAGTAGTGGAGAGGTAAGAGGTTTTCCAGTTTTTGTTTTCTGGAGGAGGGAAGTAGTTTTTGTTGTTGTTTCATTTTTACTACAAAGGACATAATTGGGAGATCAGTGAAATTGGGGTGTGAGTTAATCTTGATTATCAGTTTGAATGGGCTGAGAGACAACTTGGATATTAATAAAGCACACTTCTGCATGTGTCTCTGAAGGCATTTCCAGAGATTACTGGCATGCAGGACAGCAACTCAGGGGGAAGATCCACTCTGCGTGTGGGTGGCAGTATCCAAGACTAGGGGTCTGAATGGAACAAAAGAGGGAGGAAGTTAGCTAGCATAGGCATGCTGTCTGTCCCTCTGTTTCCTGGCTGCCGTGAACTAAGCAGGCTCTTCTGCCACATGTTCCAATGGCCATGATGTTCCACCTCAGGACAAATCCATAGCAATGAAGTCAGATGACCATGGACAGAAACCTCTGAAATTGTGAGCCATAATACATCTTTCCTTCTTTTTTATTTTTTAAGTTATGTCAGGTATTTTGTCACAACAATGAAAAACTAACACATGGAGGTCTATGAATTAAATGCATATGTCAATATTTATTTCCTGATTTTAATGGGAGTGTTGCAGCTATGTAGGCAAGTGTCCCTGCTCTTAAGAACTACACAGTGATTTAAGAGCTATGAAGCATTATGTCTGCAACGTATGTCTCAAATAATTTGGAAAAATCATATAGATAGATGGCAAAAGTGAGAATGAGAAGGTAATTGTGGTAAAATGTTGACAACAGAGGAATCTGGGTGAAAGGTATAGTAACTCAAGTGGTAAATAAACATTAATAGTTTCCAAAGGACTGAAAGTGCATAGATCATATTCTTTAACCACAATTAAATTACTCTATAAACCCGTTACAAAAGGATAACTAGAAAAACCCCATATTTGAAAATTAAAAGATACATAAATACCACAGATCTAAGAAAAAAATCCACAAAGGAAATTAGAAAACAGCTTGAACTATTATCAGAAAAAAATTTAACCCAAATATCAGTAATCTGACTCCATCAATGAATAAGATTTTTAAAAAAAGATATAATACATCATGACCAAATTGTGTTTAATGT